ATATTGGTGCTATTATACAAAAGCGTTTGTTATACAAAATATTTACGTATAATTCATAACAGTTGTCTAACCTACCGTTTCTTAAAATAGCACATATAAATTCATTGAAATTTTCAATCATAAATTCAATACTTAAATGATATTGCTTTCAAAAATCTCTAGCATAATTTTTAGCTTTACCTATCATTATGTACGTAATTGCCACGTTGACGTTGCCGTCATAATGAAACTAGTATTTAATGTGTTGTCTTCGGCTATTTTTCTCTCTTTTGACCATGTTTAAAATGGGCCCTAAAGACCAAATGTGTTAAACGCAGTCAACGTGTGTCTTGTTATCAGACCCGCTTTTAAACAATTGCGAACTATGCATTATAGAGTACCGTGCTAAACAAACACAAATAAATAAATAAATAAATAAAAACAAAAACAATAAAATGGACTCCGATTTAGCTTATTTGCCAAATGAGTCATGCGCTCGAGTTATAATGACATCGCCGCTACTCTTGGTTGTCGCCCTTTCTATGAAACGGCCAGATCTCAATGTAAACACATATTAAATTTTGTCATTTAGTCTAACTCTCCGGTTAACTTGAAAAAACATTATAACAAAACAAAAAAAAAATGTTGTTTTATTTTTATTTATTGACAAATTCTCTTTGAAATATTTCTTGTGAGAATAACGTTTAGTGCCAGTTCCTTTTATGAACCTGAAAAAAAAGTTCTTGTTTCAAAATTCGACATTTCGTTCGGCTCTGACCCAAGTGGTAGGCCCTGGAAAATTAAACTCATGTTTTGACTTGGATGAATACAGTTTCAAGCCCAAACCGTTTCTACAAGGATTCCATGTATTTGTTTTGTATTATTACATCATGACTCTGGTTTATTTTTTATGCTATAATAGCGTCAACGCACGTCTTTCTTTCGTGTAGTCCTTTGGAACAGTTGGAGCACTCGCCCTTCTAGTTTGTCTCTGTAAAAAAGAGGTATTTACACTATCTACGCATCGTAAAAAATCTTTTTTTGTTCGTTGCAGCGGATGAATACATATTTATAATGTATGCATAATCAATAAGTTTATTGATATTTCTGTTCAAACTAGTATATACTGGTGCTTCTTTAGTTATAAATGCTTATGAATAAGCCGTTTATTAAATCTCAAATCTCATAAATTCTAAGTGTTTCAAAACATCTATATAATGGCTAATTAATATGTTTATTTTCATAAAGCATGTGATTATGACATAGATTGAATGAAGATGAAATTATTTCATACTATCATGTGTAAAATGTATTCTTTGTTTCAATTTTCCAGCAGTTTGATTTTCATTCTCGTAACAAAGCATAGAGTGTTTTCTCTGTTTAACAATATTATATTTCAAAAGTTTAGAAATACGTGTTATCTCAGATAAACATACTTCACGTTTTTGCTCTTCTTTTGTTAACAAATCGTAGGTTGATAGCTATAGATCACTTAGCTTTTCTGAAATGTCGTTCATCAGCTTGCTAAGTATCCGTGTCAGGTAGTCTTATTCAAGAGAAATTAATCATTAGCCTGCTAGAAGCAACTGTTTCTACCCATTCAAACAGTGCTTCCTTGTCTTCAATATTATGTCACTTTATATTCCGAAATTTCCGTGAAATGATCATGATTTCGTCTATATTGGAAGATGGACAATTTTATGAAATATTTGTTATTGTATTCAGGATATGTTATATGGTAGACCGTCTAAGAAAATTTGGTCATAGACGATTGTCGCTGTAATAAATCTGTGTTTCCATTGTGAACGATTTCCCATACAGGAAATATTTTTCGCATTTCTCTTCTAACTAAGCAGTATCTGGTAGTTTTAGAAAAAAGATAATCGTAACTTGTCTGTAGCTGCCACAGCGCGGTCTTCAAATCGTTGCTCTATTAAAGGAAATCAAGATATCTGGACATTTTTTCTCTCGATCCTATCATATGTTAATTTGGACAATGTTTTTTGACATAAACATACATGTTAACAATAAATTTTAGACAGGCAATACTTGCCAGTGCTAGGGTTATGTATGGTAGTTTGCACTTCTCAGTACCGTCATGACCAGGCTCAATAGCCCATTTCACTACGATTTCTCACGTAAATTACCGAAGTGCGACGATCAGATTCCGAACATATATCAACTGACCAATCAAATGCTGGTGGATGCATGTACAATCTATTACTAATAATAGTAACATAAAAATAAACAAAGGAAATTTACATGGCGGATTCTTGAAATATTTCGAGAAATATGCCGTTATACTGCATAGTTAAAGGGTGTAAAAACGTGTCGGGTGGAGGGGCTAATGTCAAATTTCACCGTTTACCGGTAAATAATTTACAGAACTGTAAAGAATGGTTAATCAGGGCAGGAATGACTGAAAAAGAAGCTTCAATAGTGACCGTGAAACAATGCCGTTCATGGCGAATATGCTCAGCACATTTTCAGTCGTCACGTCAATCTAATGAGCCGTTTCTCCCAACAATCAGTATTCCAGGTTTGTTATTTTAGTTTTTTTTGTCGAAAAATGTTCATATCACTAGTATTTTTACCGAGTACGTTCTGTTAACGAAGCCGAATTGAGTCACGGATTCGCGCCACACACTTTCGTACTCCCTAGGCGAAATGACAGTTTTTGAATCCCACAACCTCTATTGTCTTTTTGTAATTAAATGAAATGTTTAAAATAATTTAATATTAAAATGACGCTGCTCATTTGAAAGACACAAGCTGAAGGTAGTTCGAATTTTATCAGGAGAAATAAATTTATTGTAGTTTTTCTTATGTGTTTGAATTTAATGTGGAAGTAAATTACTATATGTAAATGTCTTAAATTGCAAATACTACAGAATTGAGGCAAATATTGTCATTTTTAGTAGCGTATAATAGATATTAAAATGAAAATATTATTATTGAAAAAAATAACATAAAATCTTTTTTTATTATTTTAGATTATGAAAGAAAACAAACTGCAGCTACACTCTTACAACTAGGGGTTTCACAAGATACAGCTTTACCGTCAACCAGTCATGCTAACACACACAATTTGGTACCAGAGACATGTTCGACTGATACATGTAAGTTATACTTCAGTGAAAAAAATACTTTTAAGTTTTCATTCAACTCTAGAATTTTAGTGTTGTTACACCGGTATAAAATACCGGTATATGAAAAAAGTGATTATATTTAAAATAAACTAGTGTAAAAGTTATACTTTAGAAACTTGGAAACTGTTGCATTATTTAATCGGTACAAGAATGACTATGAAATTAAATTTTCAGGATACAGCTCTTCCTTATATCTACATGTTTGTAAATGCAATATTTCACAGTTGAATCAGTCTTATTGTATAACATACATTCTATTACAAAATCATATATTTTTTTTATTATTTGATTTGTTTAATTTCATTTATTGAAATTCATTGTTTAATTTTTTTATAGCTACCGAAGTAGAACCTGGTGATAAACAGCCACAAATATTGAAAAAAGGTGCATCTAAAAGAAAATTGTTTAGAGAAGCAGAGGCTCAGGTTACTCCTAAAGGACAAAAGAAACAACGCACAAAGGGTCTTCAGAGAACTCCACCTGCTTCTAAGTATACTGAAATCACTCCAAAGTCTAGACGCTCAACCATGTGTAATACTGAAATAAGACTTTCTAAAGATGTACAGACAGTTCTTCCTTCTAAAATTTTTATTAGTCAAAGAACTGTCTCCACACAGACAGTGTTTGCAACTGAAAATGAAAGTGTCCAGGCATGTATAGAGAAAATTGAATTGTTGAAAACTTGTGACAAAGAATTTAAAAAAAATCACTGGTATTGAAAATTACAAATTATTTGAAATTATTCACAAATATCTAATTTCAAAATGTGCAGATAACACATGCACTATTCAAACACATAATGATGATCCAGCTAAATTATTTTCTCACATTTCTACAGAAAATCAACTTCTGCTTGTTTTGTATAAACTGAAAAGAAACCCTGTGGATTCTGTTTTATCCTCTGAGTTTCATATTTCCACAGGGCGTATTTCTGAAATTTTTAAATTCTGGATTAAAAGAATGTACAGAAAATTCAAAATTATCAAAATTTGGCCTTCTCATGAAAATGTTCAGAAACACATGCCTACTGCTACAAAGCAACACTTTCCAAATTTAGTTGCAATATCTGACTGTGTGGAATTTAGTACCCAGGTCCCGAGAGCTCCATTGCCTGGGAAGCAACTATTTAGTAACTATAAAAACTGTCACACAGTGAAAGTTATGTACACGACAGCTCCAAATGGTGCTCTGATTCATTGTTCAGATGCGTATGGAGGAAATAGTTCTGATAAAGAAATATTTTCCCAAAGTGACTTATCAATGAGACTAAAGCCTCATGATGGACTAATGGTTGACAAAGGATTTTTAATAAAATATTGTATACAAGGAAAGGACATTCAGTTGTATAGACCGCCTTTTTTGTCAGAAAAATTAAAACAGTTTGATGCCTCTGACCGCGAATCTGGAAGACTTATTGCAAGGTCAAGAATTGTAGTTGAGAATTTTAATGCACGCTTAAGCTATTTTGCATTTTTAAAACAAAAGAAAATTCCAATACTTTATTTACCAATTATGAATGAGCTAAGTTTTGTTTGTGGGTTTTTAGCCAACCTAGGTCCTTTAGTAAGAAATGTTCAAACCACTCAGTCAGTAGTAGAACAAAATGAGGAAGTATGACACTGTTCAGTAACAAGATGTAAGATGATTTAAATACACAATCCATAGTAAAATGATAATAAAAAGAAGACAGTTGTGCTAGATTAAATGTTATGATTATTTTATTCTCTTTAACAATACTATTTTCTTCAAATTTTTTCTTGTTACAAAATGTTAACATTGGCAGATGTAAAAATAGGAAATAAGATGTGATTATTATATATATTTTTGCACGCAAAACTGAAGTGTAAGTCGCATATACACTTAATTGAACCATTTGATTTCAGCTTACTTCTTCATAAGTAACATATAAGTTAAACAAAAAAATTTTATGATTTTACAAATAGACTTGACCACCTTCATTACAATTGTTTGTACATGTATAAATTTGACACTTTTTGTTTTGAATATTGTACATGTAAACAAAAAATAAACACAATTTTATCCTGATACATTGTGTTTTTCAATTATATGCGGAGCCATAAAATTATTAAAAAACTGCTCTAGCTCTGGCAAATGTTTTTTGACCCATACCTCACTGGGCTTTATCCTTAAACAAAAGAAATCTTGACATTCAACATGATAAATTGCAAGGTCACAAAACTGAGCAAATGACCTACAAACAAAAAGTTGCAGCTGAATTTGATGATACCAAGGATTGTTTTCTTTTAGACTAAAAGTTGTTTGATTTCTGTTATTAGTGTTTACAACAGATTTAAGAGGATAACTGGAATCCTTGACACAGTCTGCAATACTTTTTTTACTCCATTTATCAGAAATTTTTGTTTTAACTTCAACCAATCCAACCAAGTGACCATTTTGAACTATGCCAGAGTCTGGAGAGGAAGCTAGGAAACCATACTCTTTGTCAATAATAAGACCAAGTTTTTTAATTTGAATATTGTTTGACCTATTCATAGCCTCATACCTTTCAAGGACTTTTGGTTCGAATTCCAGCCCGAGCCTCATTGCAGCACTTGTAAAAGAAGATGGCTGCATGATTGATTTTACAATATTTTCAGGATTTGATCTTTTGTAAACATAGTAATTACAAATTCTGTGGACCACAGAACCTGTAATGCGGTACGTTCTTAGGGTGTACCAGTCTGAAACTCTGCTTTGAAGGAGAGTATGTTTCTCTATCATTGACTGCTCCTCTTCAGAGACTTTCAAAGATTTTTTCAACTCTTGAAGAGGAACAGTGACTTGAGAACATACATCCTCCAAAGACTTATAAAAAGCCGACATATAAACATACAAATGGTTGACTGATGCAGTAGTTTCAATAGGGTCACTAATGTCAGTCACAGTGTTGATTAACAAATTTTTTCCGTTGTCAGCTGACCACGTGTTCATTTCTGACAGAAATTCTGTGACAGCACTTCTATCACTCTCACAGACTTGATGTAGTTGATAGAATTCTGGCTTCCTTCCTCTGAGCTCTCTTCTTTCCTTTCTTCTTTTTCCGAACTTTTTTCGCTCAAAGTCTACATCATACAGGGGTGATGCAGGCAGTTTGATATCTCTTGGTTTGTTCCAAGTCTCAAGTTTTTCTAAAATATATATATATATAAAAACACATTTTGAGATTTCAGCATTTCATAATTTTTCTACATTACTGATTAATGTGTCTTAAGATTCAATTATTATAATTATTGTTGAGCTTACACAAAATTTTAAGGTAACAAACCTTTTTTTAAACACATAATTATACAAGAGTTCTAACCTAATGTATTTTAAGTGTGTTATCTATAGAAACCATGTGATTTTTTTTTCACAAACTGTCTTGGATTGCAAAATTTATATAATGCCTCAATAAAACAGCTGTGTTAATTACCAGTGCATGACTGTACATCTTCAGGAAGAATGAAAACTTTGACAAAATCCTCCAAAGCATAACATAAAGCTGCCACATGTTTGCATGTTGATGCTGGACCTTGTCCATCCTCACATCTACAGTTGGCATGTATTATGTCCCCATCTTTCATGTTCAGAATGATTAAGATGTCATATTTTCTCTGTCTCATGTGTGCAAGACACTCCGCTTTAATAAGAACTTTTCCAGCTCTTACATCTTCTCTAGCGTAAATTTCCTGAAGGAAAAAAAATTTAATCATACTCTCTTGTATTCTCTAAAAAAAGAGGGAAAATCCATCTCCTTTTTTAAACTTCAACGTGAAATAATTCATTTAATTAAAGCGACTAATGCTGATTCTCTATGTCTCTCCATCTGAACAATATACAATATTAATGCAGGCTACGAAAACATCGGGTACGAACCATTTCGGGAACAAAGTCAAAGCAAAGAAAATTCAAAGCAATTGTTTTTTAACCCGATAGCTCTACTTTAAAAATCAATATAATTTAGTAATTGGTTTAAAATGAATTTATTTCATCTATCTAAAACTGTTTTTCACATCTACATGTAGATCTTAAATGAATCGGGATGAAAGTTAATTTTCTTTGTCTCGGAATTATACATGTACTTACCCGAACATGTCCATTGGTGTACAACTCGTATGAAACTTCCCTGATTGAGCGAAAATCGGAATGTGTGTGTAAGAAATAAGTAATAATTGTAGATATATTAAATTTTCTGAACGTTTGTGGGAGTTTTCCAGAAGAATAAGCATTTTTTAATTCAATAAACACTCGCTCGTCAGCCGCTGAATCACCCGCCATTATCGTAAATATAAACAATACATGTACACTCGAGAACCAGTATTTCATTGGTCAAACATATTAGCAGTTAACCTCCCACGTGATGCGTGTCTACGAATGTTTCCGATAATTTACGAAGGGCTGGTGAAATGGGCTATAGAAACGAGCCTACAACATTTTCAGTTTTGTCGATTTAAATTGATAATGTTTCAAAACCTCATCATATTTATGTCATTTAGGCATCTAATACAATCTAAAATGATTCCTAAAATTGAAATACGACCGAAATAATTAATTCACGGAAAATTATTTGAAAGTGTTACCACTTCAAACAAATAAATTAACAATAAAACATGTTATATGATGTAATTGGCAAATAATACCAAGAGATTAAATACAAAATATAAGCTGCATTACCGTCATGCTTGTGCATTAAAGTACACCTTGTTTTACTTATTAACATGCAACATAAAACATAAAAGTTTCTTATATCTTTAATTTGTAATCTTACTCAACAAAACATAACACAAATGTGAAAATTGTATTAATTTTATTTGCTTAAAGAAGCACTTTATGAAAATATTTGCTGAGAATTATAATTATATAGTTTTTTTTAAAAAAAATTATATGGCTTCCAGCAATCTGTATTGTTTATTAAGATATGACATTTTGTCTTATAAGGCATTTTCACAGACAACCACATTGAACAGTTTTTTTTTGTGCTATACTCGAATTTCCTATTTGCATTTAAATTACAATATCCAGCTTGATGGCAGCAAGGATTTTAGATAAAGCTATTTCAGATACATATTTGAAAATGTGCTTAGAAACATGCTAATTTATCAATTTTAAAAGACTGTAGATAGTACTTAATCGAATAATTGGCATTATTTTCTTCAGTGGATAGACTACGTTAATATTGCCAATTTGTTCACACTAGCGGCCTTTATACACTGTCAAACCATCAATAAGCAAACACTTGTAGTAACAGTAAGATATTTTACATCAAACGATAATAACTGACATTTTGTTACAATATGGTAATTTTACAAATTAGGATCTTTGTATTTCGATTTACGTTAATAGGCATTTGAATATTATCTCAATCATAATTTTAACAAAACAATCGCTATGACAGTCATGCAAAAATCGTTGTAGTGAAAGCACTGAATGAAATGTGTTGAACACAATGAATTACAAGACAAATGATAACCAAACGGTATTCACAAATTATCAGATTACTTTGATAGGATATCATATTTTCAATTATGTCAATATCGTCATCCTAAGACATTTTCCAAAATAAGTTCAATTGAAAAGAAGCAGTTGGCGCTTTATTATCTGTGAAATTGACGCGAAGTATCGTAAATGAATCGTTTATGTTCATGAACTCGCGATACTAGGCTGCACCTTGGTGGAGATCATGCATAAACTACGTGAGTTTTATATGCACCCGTGACCGTTTGATAAGATAAACCGTTGATAGAGACAGAGAGAGAAATTGAGCACTTCACAAACACCAGATGTTACGTTTTGTTTTCTTGTTTAACTCGAATTGTGAAGACAAAAATCATTTTTATCAAAAAAAATAAAAATAAACATGTACTATATGGAACATATACTGTGTGTGGTGCAAACAGTGCTTACGCGTTACAACGGAAGAGTCTAAATCAGATAGTGTTCATTGTCACTAAAAGTTCGAAAATATATGAGAATCATTTCTATCGTATGAAACAGTGTGCCCGAGGTAACACAAATTAAGTCTCTGAAATATTTCGTGCGGAATGTTACTAAAACGTTCCTTATTGCGACACAAAAACACATTTACACTTTGTATCATATTTCATGATAAGGCATAGTCACTTAGTAAAATGACATTATGGTCATCTTTGTTTATATGGTGAGTTTAAATGCAAAATTTAAAAGATAACATTTTGTATATTTGTATAGTTCTTTTTAATTTTGTATACTACTTTTACATCACAAAAATAATCATTAACAAGACTATCGACTCCTTAAACATTTTATAATTATCCGTCAGAATGTATTTGTAAATTTCAATTGATAAACATGACATGTCTTTATATATTTTACGCCTTTTTATATATTATTTCTACCAATTCTTATTTTTAATTTTTATTAATGCCAATGTATAAAGCAATGTTGCTTCTATTATTCTTACACTGGTCTGAATTATGCAATTTTTTAAACTTTCAAATAAACATTTCGGTCTTTGTTATACCTTTCTTGCGTTTTGGGATAAATAATTCTTAAGTGTCCTCAACCACCGTCATAGTTATACAAACGAAAATGTACAACGTATACCTTCATAACAATTCCGGTATTGCATTTCTACTGACTCTTTTATTTAAATGTACTTTTAAAAACATAACCATGAAAATGTCATAAAGATCTCAATCAAAACATTTAAATATCTTTACAATTTATGTTATGATAAATTTTGACTTTCATTTTGTTATCTACTTTCAAACTAATCTTAAATTGAAAGAAAGTTCAAACCCCTTGCCGTGTTCTGACTGACTGAACGATTAAATCTTTCTTTATGTCCTTTTAACATAAGATCTGCAAAAATTAAATGTAATCGTACTTTGCTTCTTTTTTTTTCAAGAAATGCATGATCGGATTAATTTGAGAAAAGTTTTCTTTTTCAATGAACGGTTTCTTTGTTTTTAAAGGTTTTTTTTATCATTATTATTGTTGTTGGTACCTCTGCTGTTGCTGCTGCTGTTGTGCTTTTTATTTTATTAAAGTTATACGAATTAAAAAATATCTGTGTAACTTTAGAGTTTCATAACGTTCGTATAATCAGGTTTTCAAACCCTCATATCTATTTCTAAAAACAACTGGTTTTGATGAGTTATATCTTTATTTGTAAATATGGATATTAAAGTGACATTATGCCCAATAAAATGTTAATGGTGAATGAGAATAAAAAAATGACAAAATAAGATTATATTTTGCCACAGTTTACATCAAAATTATACTCAGCATCGCGAAAATAATCAATATCTCACGTGACACACAAAAGTTTCTCTTAACATATTTCGTAATTTAGAGATGTGTTCACTTGATAAAAAGAGTGGAACAATATTTTTACATTACATACAGTTTGTAAATTTTATTCTTATCATTTGTCATTGTCTATTATTAGTTCACCGCCATTACATAAGTCAATTGTTTGAAATATGTCGCATAAAATGAGCATAACGTTACTTTAATCATACTTGATAGAATAAAAATCTTCCCTTACACAATTTGTCATTCAAAATTTAAATAGGTTAAAGTGACATTATGCTCATATTTTCATAGTCAAGTTGAGCTAAATTGACTTTATATTTCAAAAGATTAACTGACAAAATGGTGTTTGATATTGGAAAAAGTTTTGAGTAAAATTATAAATTGCCTAAAATCTAAAAAGACTGTCCCACTCTTTTTAAAAACTAAGCGTTACATGTAAATTCTAATGGAAATGTACAGAAATTTCGTTGGGATCTCTGCGTTATTGATTGTTTATGCGAACTTAATTATTAAATAAAAAGGAATTATAGCAAAATGAAACTTTATTTTGATATTCACCCGTTTACTCATTATATATACTTGGATGGGCATAATGTCTCTTAAAGCTCTAATTGTCTACATGGGTTATTCGCCTCGTGACACTTTACAAACATAATTTTTTCATATAATATAGCTTTGTGGGTATCTGTGTCTTGTTGATTCAACCAACCACTTTGTGCATTCCAAAGGACGAGGATATAGCTTCAAGACGACAAAAACTTTTATTCATAAATTTTCATTGTAAGCTAATAGAAGTTTAAATTTTGTAAACTGAAAATAATTTTCGATATCCATGGTATTTAAGCCTATGATTTATAGGCAACAATGTTTCTTGAAGTGCAGTATAACAGATAACGATGCACATTTCAAGATAAGATAATTATGCATTTTGTTTCAAACACCCAATTACATTGATATGATACCATGCATGCACTTCTTTAATTGGATTATCATCTATTAGCACATTATTTCGTGACTGAGAGAATCTTGTTTATTGTAAATGAAGCATATATGTCATGATCTCCTGATATATGATTCGAATCTGCATGCTGGTTGCAATTACGCATTACCTCCTGCTAGTGTTTAAGATTTACTGTTCTTTTTTGTATGGAATAACTTACTATCTTAGAGGTAAATGATGAGCATTCAGTTTGTTTATTTAAAAGTCATGAAATTATTTGCCATTTAAGTTTTAAGGTATAGATCTATTTCAATAATTGACAAAGCAATAATTTATTTTTATAAAAATAATATGTGTGCTTTGGTCTGTGCAATATCACTATGAGACGACGTAATAGAGATTGCATTTATATGGTCACTATTATTGTAAAACCACCATAAACTGTATCAGTAGTATTTAGATATTTTACAAGACATTTCAACCAGTCCTTCCTGTTATTCTTGTTGTCCTTCGGGATAATATATTTCAACATTTTTAAGTGTTGAAATTTGAGTACCACACAAGCGGGTGCTGGGTGTTTGTGGGATGTTGCACTTTTTCATTATCCCTTATTGGCAAACTCATTTAAAAAGAGTCTGCACTTTTCATGTAATTTTGTTGTGATTATTTCCTCACAGGGATCGGACGTCTTCCATATTTTATTGACATTATTTGATTTTTTATATGATTATACGAACTGCCACAGCTGAAACTGAAACACACTCACTGCAATACGTTTTACATTGTGTCATACGACTAATGAAAGCAAAACCAACAAATTCAAAACAGTGCAGTTTTAGGGATAACACAGCTAACATGACTTGATGAAGCTTGAATATGATAGCTGTAGTTTCCTGATAAAGATCAAAACCACGGTCTGAAAGTAATTATGATTTTATACTAGATTCTAGAGAAAAGGATAGCAGAAAATCTGTGTGTTATTAGCGCCTTCTTTTATCACTGCCAACTCAATGTTGAATCTGCCAAAATAAGCATCTTGCACGTACCTTTGATCTTTACATTCATTCAAATTTCTTTCACACATGCAGAAGTGATTTCACATATTAAAGTTCGTTATAATCAAAATCTTACTGAAATGTGTTGATTTCTTTCGGTGTTACACGAGA